GGGGGGGGGGGGGAGAGAGAGAGAGAAAGAGAGAGATAGGCCGAGGGAGAGAAATAAGAAAAATCGCGCGGGTCGCAATTCGCTCGCAACACGTCGCGCCGTCGCTTCTTAGGCCGAGAACGAGCGAGAGGCGTACGCCGCGGCTGCGCGAACCGGTGTGTGGGGCCGTTTCCACCGGCCGAGACGAAAGAGCCGTCGAGAGAGGCGATACCCCCTCCCTACCGGGAGGACTTTCGAATGGTGCGCGCGACTGTTCGCCGTCTCGTGACGGAGACGGCCCGGTCGTTCCGGCTTCTCCGTTCGAGTCGGGGATCCGCCCTCGTCGCGGTCGATCCGCCTCGAACATGGAACGCCCGCCAATGGAGGAGACCGTGGCGGAACCGCCAATCCAGAACGGTTCGGCGTTCTCTCCTCTTCTTCGCCGTTTGCGAAAGATGAGGAGAGGTTCGATGTACGAAGAGCGCGGTGAAAGAGAGAGGCCGATGAAGTAAGGAGATGCAATTCCGACGAGTATCAGCGCGCGAGGGGGATGCAGGGCGAGGGGTGGAAAATGTCGGTTGCTTAAAATGGCAACTTGGGTACCTCGGACGGAGCGAGGTGATTCTTGCAGTTTTACGAGCGCGATAACGATCGCGCTGGTAACCATGTTAGAGACATGTGATAAGAATGGCTCGATATGGAGATAAAGAGGGAGATTAGGAGTGGTGATGATACGGACAAAAGAGATGAGGATTTACGAGTCTGCGCGTTTACTTTAGGTAGGATTAGATAGAACGATAAGATACCTTTGTATCACTTCGTGAAGTGTTATTTATCATTTTATTTTAGAACAGCTTTAGTGCGAATTATTTAAAACATCATTTGTCTCACGATTTTTCAATCAATTATCTTACCAATTAAATTAGATAATATTAGGCACTTTGGCAATTAAGTCTCAAATTAATTTCTTGCTGCGAATTTCATTACGAACGATGAAATAATATTTTATATTTAAACAACTTTCGAAACAACAACTTCCGATCATCTTCGCGTTCAGATAAAAATCATGATTTTTAATTTATCATAAATGTAAGAATTAATGGATGTTGAATTGAATATTTCGTATGTAATAATACATGTTATTAATATAAGTATAAATATATTCGTTGAAGAAAAGCAACACGAATGGTTCATATAAATTTATACTTCAAGGGTGCGAGAAAAGGTGGAGCCGAAATGAGAAGCTGGAGGCTCCAGAAGTCTAGACACATATCTCACATAGCCGCGATTAGCAGACAACCTGAAGTGAGGCAATTTTATTCATCCCCGTGATAGACACATTCATTAAACAGTTTAATGATTTGTAAACGTTGCACTTTCTCCGGAGCCGTGTTCGCGATGATCTATACGTACATCGCGCTGATAAGTAGCTCGATGTAAAAATTACAGTATTCATCGCACGTACCAGACTGTCCGTTACATCACATTCTCCCATCCGGAGTGGAGGGCGGAGGAGGAAGAGGGCGCGGAGGAACGATGCAACGTCGGGAGATGCGCTCCCTCAGCGCGCGCGCATCCCTCGTTCTCGGCAAGATTAAAATCGGGTAGATCGACAATGTGCTAAATTGGCGAACGTTGGCTTAAGTATTGAAATTCCTCGGCGGTAACGAACGACGGGGCCCGACGGCGCGGCGTACCTCCGATTGATAAACGATACGGGCGCGGACGCGCTGCGATTTTATTTTTATCGTGCGCGAGAGGGGCAGAGTTATAAACGAGCCTGCCACGTTCGTGTGGATCCGCGTTAACGCGGTGTGTGCCTCGGCAAACCGGGGGGAAGGAAGGAAGAAGAGTCGGTGAGAAACTTGGGCCGCCGCCGCCGCCGCCGCCGCTGTCGCCGCCGTCAAAACTGCCGATCATCGACACGTCCCGGTTCGCTCGCGGATGCTTCATTAGCCACGCCTCGGCCAGACGAACGCGCACTCGGTTAAGCTGATTTATCGCAGAAAATCCAGTTAGTAGAAATTCGTTCTCGTGTCCGTACAGTGTACACCGCCGCGTAAGTCCTTCCAGGTGGAGACGACTTTTTTTCCTTTTTTCTTCTTTTTTTTTCGTCTTTTTATCGTCGACCGAGGTATTTCGGTGTGAATCTCGCTCGCGTTCTCTCCGTCCCGGGAAGGGAACGCCATCTCAGATAATTACGAAGCAATCTCGCTTTACATACCTCTTCGCTCTACCGTTTGGTAGCCAGGTGTTTTAATTGGTAATCATTGTAGTTAGCTGAAATCATATATGTACAGATCCCCCCCCCCTCTCTCTCTCTCTCTCTCCCTGGCATTTCAGCGTTAACAGCGTTCGTCGTGCGTTATGCCGTACAACGTTAAACGCGCACAACCGATCTCGGCGATTAGAGGCGTACGAACGCACGGGATATCGATGATGTGGCGAAATAAGTAGCTCCGGGAGGATCATCGACCGTCCGTGTCTCGATAATTACGACTACCCCATGCCGCGAGCTTATCTTCGGGGTCCCAACGCCCCCGTTCCCTCGGTCCCGCGGTCCCGCCGCGCCTGCGGAGGCCCCGTCGCTTATCCTCCGGGGCCCGACTGTATCTGATCTCGATGATCGATTGCCGCTACCGACTCTCGAAATTACATACGCTTAAACCGCGGCTACAAATAATTATCCCCGCGCTACTTTCGATCCCGCCCACGCGATTTTCTAATCGTCTCGCTGGTCTACCACATACTCACGGCTATCTCTTAATCGTTCATTGTAAATAATAAATTATTATTGATGCCATACATCGCCGGTGAACATGTAAATTAAGACAGGCGCCGAAGATGTAATTTTACCGATCGATTTTTCACTCGTTGAACGCCGCTTTCTCTATGCACACGGTGCTCCGGATTTATGTAATCTTTTCATCCCGGGCGAGGTGCTTCTTGGTTCCGCGCTCTGATAAGGAAATTATTGTATTTAGCGAGACTAAATATAAACTTGCTAAATCGAGTCGAACCTGTATCTAAATCTGAATGGATCTTATTACATTGGATCGATGGAAAAATAGAAAAAATTAATTTACTTTGACAGTTCGAATGAGTTATTATTTCAAGTACAGACGGATTATTCATATAAAGATAATCAAAATCTTGATGTATTAATTTTTTTACATTATATATAAAGAAAAAAATTATTATTTAAACTGTTAAATTTCATTTAGATACACACATTTATTTGATATTTAATAAATTCAAAACTTCTTCACATTTATATTATTATGTACAACAAAGCAAAAAGATTACAAAATGATATTGAAATGAAAAATTTCTTCTTTTTCTTCTTGATGATTTTTATGATTTATAACGATATTTATTGTAATAGAGAATGAAAATTACGCTACAAGAGATTACATCAGCCTCTGATATATGACAATTAACTAATATCGGTTCGAAAATATCACGTATTTACTAAATTACACGTGGTAAGAGACCTTAATAAGATGCAGATAGATGTCGTTATGGGATAAATGCAGTTATGATCATCGCATCTGATGAGGTTGCAGTGCGTCGAACTTTATCATAATTGCGAGTTGATGAAAACTTCGCTCAGCGTTGCTATCCCTCTTTTCTTATCTCAACCTTTTTTATTTAACGGAAGATATGAATTTCATATATTAAATCTCGTCGGTGACGATCGGCCATTCATTTATGTTTTTGATTCCACCAATGTAGATTTACTTTAATCTCGATTTGCTTTTCATCTTTTTTTAATTCTTAGAACTAGAAAAAGATAAAGAGCAAGTTAAACCGAGATTAAAATTAATCTATGTTGATGAAATCGGATGAATTAATCTTTAAAAATCTGCGTTATTCTGAAGTTCGGATTCGCGGGGTCTCACGGGTCTCTATCGATCCCGTCGGCGTTCGGTCGAGAGATCGCGACCGGTAACTGGCGGTCACGGACGCGTCGCTGGTCCATTGCGATCTCGTTTATCACGGGTGTTATTCTTGCCGCGCCGCCAACGCGCCTCTTTTTCTCTCTTTTCCCGGTAGACGACAATCGCGAGGAGAAACGATTGCGTCACGATGATGTCATTAGCCGTGGCCACGCCCCCTACGGCGCTACCCCATTACGCCGAATCATCGGATGAGATCGAAGGGGGGACCCTGTAGGCTCCCTTTGGGGGGCAGTCGCGTCGGGCCCCATAACGCCCGTCGATCGGGAAGCCGATCGTGAGCACTCTTGAGGTGCAAGAGTTAATTCGGAGACCTCCGGCCACGTACGATATGTGCGCTCACCGACACCCGCTGACCTTTATGAGTGCTTAATTAAATGAGGCTTTTTATGCGCTCGGTATCTGACTCATGCGAGCCTCGCCCCCTTTTAATTCGTTATTATAATACCGCCGGTAAGATCATAATTTAACGAAATACATGAGCGAGCGATGGGGCATTTATCGACTCCGAGGATAGTTCGTGTTCGGCTAACAAGGCCAGAACGTGTAACTGTTTGTTTTTCAGAAAATTATAATTTTTTAAGAAAAACGCGGTACCATATCAATAAAATCGCGTAAGATACTTCTACGCCCAATGTGTAGAAGAGTTAAATCTAATTCCGTCCGGGACCCTTGAAGTTTCAAAACCACCGCCGCGATAAAGCACGCTCATAACAAAGTCGCGTAGATGAAACGTTCATTAAGGAACAAAGATTGAGGTAGCTCTCCGATACGATCTTCGATCTCGATGATCAACTTCTCGTATTCATTATATTATTATATATTAATAATGTTATATTCTGTTACACACTGATCCTGTCTTAACACTTCATTACATGTCGGCCCGCCCTGTACTCTCTCGAGAATGTCTTTGATGTCACAGGGATCTATCGCGATCGTTTCCCGGGCTCGTTACGCACCATCGGGAACATTATTCTCCTTTCTCAATCATCGATCTCAATCCCTTTTTTCCCTCGACCACTGTGATTCTCGGGGGCTGGCTGGTGAAGATATAGATATCGGCCAGGTATCCGCTACCAGGCGGCGGAGGCATTGTGCCGCAGAGGCGATGAAAAAGAGAGAAGAGAAATCGGGCGGCAAAAGGAGTCCCAGGAATGACGTGGAAAGTGGCGGAAGAAAGAGGATCATCGATCGGCTCGGACGATCGATAAGCGACCCGGCTAACACTCATTAAGCCAGCTATTGTGCGGTGGCAACATCCGTTTGATTGGTTAATCTTCGCGGCCGATGACGTGTTCAACGCGAAGCCGACGAGACGACGCCTCGTGATGATGATTTCCGGATTCTCGCTGTATTTTCTCTCGCGTTTTTATTCGGGACAAAAATAAAAATTGGATTAGAAGAGAAGAATAGCACAAAGCGGGTCTATAATGTCAATAGCATTTTCCAAATTCGTTCCACGTTTCAGCAATTTTTTTTTAGGCTCGTGATATAATTTCATAATTTATTAAAAGATGATGAATATATTTTTTATATTTTGCGATAGAGATATCATTTTAATTTGGGACCCTAATAATTATGTTACAAATATTAACATATAATATTGGATATAAATTATGATTACTTTTGTTGCAAGAAAGTGCGTAATTTTCAAATTCTACCTTAACACTCGTTTCATAACGATAACTGTAAATAATATTATTGTTAA